TCATAAAAGAGAGACAGGAGGATAGAGACACCCCTTATGGCAGCAGCCAGGATCAAAGGAAGGGCCCTTTTCCTCCAGAGATGTCTGCTTCCCATCTGCCTGCTGCCCTTGGGAGTGGCACAAGCTCTGTCTTTCCACCTGGGGAGGAAGAACAGGCCCTGCAGAAGGTGGAGCAGGTGCTGAGGTCAGAAGAGAAGCTGAGGATCACTAAATTAGATCTGCATCTCTGGGGGCAAGCTCAGGTGGTGGGAAAGAGGAGTAGGATGCTCTATTGGACTGTGCTCAGCTGTGTGTGCATGAGTCACTTCACATCCCACCAGGTCCCACTTTCTCTTGGTGGGTGATTTTTTTTTTCCTCAAGTGTCTGTGAACCTTTACATGCCTCCCTGGAGGTCTGAATTTCCCTGAGATGTGGTAGTGATAGAAGGAGGGCTGATTCTTCTGTGGATGTCTGAGCTCCTTTCTTTGCTCGTTTACCCTGTTGTATGAGCTGGGCTCAATTAGTCCAAGATGTGAGCATCTCTCACCTCCCCACCTGACAGTCCTAAAAGAGATGGAGCCCCTGCCCTGTTGTAGCATTGTCTGAGACCTCCTTCCTGCCTTGCACTGGGCAGGAAACAAACAGGGTTTTGTGAGCAGGACCAGCCACAGTGGGGCTGTTCCCAGGGCTGGTCTGTGTGCCTGTGACTCTCCTCTCAGCCCGGGGCCCAGGGGGTGGGTGCAGGTGGCTGGCTGGGTGAAATTGCAGCTGGCACAGCCCAGGGAGGGCTGTGGGGGCACAGCTGGAGGGAGATGACAGCTAATCACCTTGCCCTTGGTGCCATCAAGGCCCTGTTCCCATAGTGTATGGTCTCAGCAGAGAAGGTAATTGGGTATCACCCAAGTCCAGACTGCTGTGGAAGTGAGAAACTCACTGTTCCCTTCAGATGTGCCCTTTTGGGCTGTGCAGGGGAATTTTGGGACGTGGCTGAAGGATGCCTGGCTGCAGCAGGAACCAAGAAGCTGAGCAAGGCATAGGGTGTTCCAGTGCTGGCCAAAGAGCTGCTGGGGCATACACCAGGCTGCCTGTGTCCCCTCCTCTATAAAGGGTCTGTGTGTGTAACCAAGGTAGCTGCCTATGAGTAAAAAAAAAAAAAAAAAAAAAAAGGAAAAAAAAAAAAGAATAATTAAAATCCTTTCTGTATGTTTCTGTATGAAGACAGATTTGATGAGTGTAAGATGGGGGAGAAGGGTCCCATTGCTCTTTATTCCCTCCCACTCCTTCAGAAATGAGAGGGTGAAAGCCTCAGGCAAGGTGAGTTCCTGTGACCCTGAGGAGATGGGGGTCAGCATGAGCAGCCAGCTGCCCTGCTCAGCTCAGCCCAGCCAACAGCCAGGTGTCCACAAGATGTGCTGGAGGGTTGGTCTGGGGAAGGGTGGTGAGGCAATGAGTGTGGTGAAGTACACACTTCTAGAAGGCACCAAAAACACCCATTCCAAATCAGCTGTCTCTTAACCCCCCATCTGATTCAGTGTTCTCCATACCAGAGCGCCATGTGCCATGGAAAGATCTCAAGCTCCTGAGGGAGGCTGTTGGCCCCTGTCAACACCACGCACCCTTCACACACTGTGGAGTGTTCCTGCATCAGCAGCTTCTTACCAGCAAGTGTAAAAGGAGGGGTAAAAAGTGGATTAATGAGAAAGGGGAATGACACACTGAGCAGCAGTGGGAGCGGAGCCACAAGTGCTGTGCCACTTGGGATGGTTGGTGCCTCCAGGAGCTCCTGTGTAAGCAGTTCCTGCAGCACCCTGTAAATCCCCAGCTGACCTTGCTGGAGCCCTGACCCCCAGGACAGGCTGCTCCAAGGAATGCTTCAGTGAGGGTGCTGGGCTGTGCTCTGCCCTCAGAGAAGAATTTTAGGCATCAGGTAAGGAGGCAGGAGTGCTTAGCCTTATATCCCACTGCTCTGCTCAGGTCCTGCTGGGCTGACCTAGTGCTTCATAAGCATTTCTTACACTTTAGGTTTTTAGCTGAAACACCCTTTGTGTCCCAGCTGATAGCTACTGGGGCATGGCACTATGAAATATTACGACAGCATACTTTGAATTCACATAGATTTTGTAGAAAAAGCATTTGAGACTTCCCTTTTTTAGAATGAGAAGCACTGCTGTTCTGAGTATAATGGTGTGGCATCTTGTTTGGAATTTCCCTTGCTTTCTATATATACACATGCAGCAAAGCCACAGGAAATGGAAGTTTAAAAAAAAAGCATAGAGCATAGGTATCTGCTTCTTGAACAAATTTTATTCTTGTAGTTGGTTTTATTATTAGTGAGCACTTATCTTGAGGCATCATTTAAGGTTTATTTTAAAAGATGTGACATCCTAAATCATTGAAGCCTGAAGCAGACATGGACTTAGAAGTTGCACATTATTTGAGAAACCTTTTAGGCTCTGTACTGCCCATGCTACAGGAAAGAGCATTATTGTTGATTGATCTTTTCTCCCTTGGGGCTTTTGGGGTAGGGACCAACTTCTGAGGCTTCTTGCATTTGTATTTTCTAAGATGCAGTGAGTCAGTGTTGCCTACAGCTGCTGTCGTGATTGTGTGCCACTTCTGCATGGCAACCAGCATGGTTATTAGTAAACAGTTTTTACTTTAAAATCCCAAGCAAAGTGCATTATAATTAGGTCCAGGAGATGTGAGAACATGCTTGCCAGCAGTTGGAGATTATGCAATCTGAAAATCTCATTGCTGGTGAAGTGAGACAGATCTTTGGGAGCTGAGTTGCCCTGGGTCTGGACTCAGGTTAGTTTGGAGAGCAAAACTGAGGAACAGTCATTTGGTGAAGGAGAAATTTTAGGAGAAGGAACTAATCATGAAGGTAATCGGACAAATCCATCTTGGCAGCTTTTACTATGTTAAGACACATGCCTACAAGAAGAGGCAGTTGTCCTGCCTGCTCTCAGCCTCTGTGGAACTGCAGTGTTTCTGTCTGCCTTCTCTGTGGTAGTGGCATGCCACTCCAGTACAGGCAGGGCTTGCCTGAATGAGAGATCTACAGAAGCCTAAACAGGCATCAACTTTGCCTGAAAACAGGGTTCATTTCTCTTGGGTGCCTTTGTTACCAATACAGCAAATGAGGAACTGAGCCCCATCCATACAGTCAGACAGTTTTTCTGTATGATTTCAAGAATCACTTGTGTAAGGATGTCTTTCTGCAGTTTTACAGATGATGTTTCAGTGAACAAGTGTACCAATGGATAATGAAAGTTCACAAAGTTTATGCTACTGAAGCTCCTTTCACTGCATGCAGTTACTTTCTTAGTCATTATGCCTTTATTGCTTTCTTTTAGGAAAGGAGCTGAGTTGGTGCTTTAGTCTAGTTGAGGTGTTAGGGCATGGGGTGGACTTGATGATCTTAGAGGTCTCTTCCAACCTCATTATTCTGTGATTCTGTTGCTATTGAACCAAGCAAGACACTCTGGACAAACATCCAACAAGAAGAACACCAGTGTGAGGCCAGAAGGAACTTTTAGTAATTTAAAGGGTTCAAAAATGCTGGAAACTCACTGGCACTTTCACTTCAGTGTTGGGATAATGGAGCTGACAGGTTTTATGCATTCTGGTCTATAAGCTGAGAAATGTGGCTGGTGAAGGTAGGGGCAGTTGCTGGGGATGCCTTGGTGTGAATGCTTTGCCTGGTGAGGAGGGGGAAGGTAAAGATTGTGTCATGTTTTGTCAAGAGACCTACCAGTGAATTTGGTGTAAAAGTCAAAGCACTGCATAGCAGACAAGTTTTCTTAGGAGCAATAGTTTATGGCCCATCATCTGTAACAAATATTTGCAGGTAAGACAGTGGTAGTTCTTCATAGTGTAACATTTCTTGGTTAAGCCGGAACAAGAAACAGTCATGCTTTATACCAGCTGGGGGAAAAAATCCCAAAAACCTCAGTGGAGGTGAAGTTAAACAGCTCTGAAGAAAGGCATTTTCGTACAGAAAACCAGCAGATCTGTCCTAGATTTATGCCACAGGTAGTCAAATGCCAGTCCTCATTTACTGCACTTTTTGTTTCATGTGGTGGCTGTAATCTGTGCTTGATCTGTAACTTCACCTGTTTTTGTTTGTTGGTCCAGTGTTGTCCTTGTTGGAGGTATATTCGAGTTTCCCAGCACTGAAGTGCTCTCCTTTCACAGGATTAGTGTGAAACTAACCTCTGCTCTGACTAGGGACTAGTTCACTGAATTTAAATCCACAAGAATAGGCATTATTAATTTTTGTGTACTGCATATTCTCCTATCTAATTCCCACATCTATTTCTTATTAGAAATTATTATTTCTTATTGTAGGTCAGTCTATCCAACTATACCCACAGGGAATAACATAAATGGAAATCTATAAGAGGCTTTAGCTTCTGATATATATTAAAGCAGTCATCATCTCAATGCAATTTAAAAAAAGTACTGCCAAGACCTAACTTACTTTACTGTTCTGTTTGTTTTTTAAAGTGTCTTGTGTGAATTAGTACAAAACTCAAGTCCCTGTTTTGCTGTATCAATCACTGGCATTATCATACTGATGAACACTGAAGCTGTAAACCAGGCTTGTCTAATGAGAACAGTCAAAAAAGTAAGATTAGTTTATACCACAGGAAGTTTAATCATGTTTCTCAGCTTATATTCTCTGGGCTGCATCTGATCTCTAAGACCTTAAAAGGCAATGTAAAAAATGGTCACTAAAAAAACCCCAAAACTTTCTGCATGTTTGTGTTGGGAAGAGCAAGCTGGTAGTGAATTACAAGATTGCAGTCAGTTGTAGATGAGATTAATAGTAACCATTGCTGCATGCAAGGGCCCAGGCACTGCTTTTGGTAATATCCCACCTAGGATAAGAGTGGCATAAACCATCATCTTCCTTTGGGGCTGCAACAGGATCTCAAAAAGGAAATATCCAGAAAAAAAAAATCCACATTCCTTTTAAAGTGTGGAACAGGGAACAAAACAAAGCAGAAGACAGAAGTGTTGTTACACAAAGTTTTCTTTAATTATGAAGTGACGTGGTTGCACTAGGCCTTTACTTTCTGTTCCATTCTTAACTCTTGCTCTGACACAGTGAGAAAACCATTTCAGATTCACCTGGAGCTAAGGCTGCAAAAACCTGTGGCACTCATATTTGTATACATTAATTGCTGATACTCCTTCTCAAAACAGTCCCCTGCTATCTGTTGAAGCTCTTTCAAATGCAGAAAGGATAAGAAAAAATTCAGGTCAGCATTGACACAGTCACATGTGTGTGGCAGGGTAGGGGGTTAAATGTGTTCCTGTGCCTCTGAAATGTCAATCTTCCACCCAGAAATGAGGAGTGATTTTTTTTTCAACATATTTGAAAATAGTCTGAGAAGCTGGTTATCACTAAAGTAATGAAATAATTCATCTGAAACCCTGACATTTAATTAGCCCTTAGTATAGTCACTATTTCACATGTGAATACTTACACCAAAAGAGATTTTTTGGACCCCTTTTGTAGTAAAGCAAATGCACAACCACTTTTATTATAAAAATAATCCTTTGGTCAAATAGGAATACAAACAATAATTACACAAATACACATTTACAAATCTGTAAGATAGATACTTATGGCACAGACAATATAAATATCCCTGTACCTTGTTTCTGTGCAAAAAATGGCAGGCTAGTTTTAGGCAATAACCAGCCCTTTTATGTTTTCTTCACTTCTTCCGATTTCAGTTAAACAGAAGGATTTTCAGATCAGGTGTCTGAAAGTTCACCCTCAAGAGTCAAGAAAATACTGTCGCTTTTAATCCAGATAAAGCAAGTAAGATTTTTCCTATCTTCTGCCAATATATTCCTTCCTGTTCTTCAGCCTACATTTTTTGGAAGAGGAGAAAAATTTCAAGTTCAGTAATTTTTTTCACAAGCCGTCAGACTGTGGTAGAGAATTAGACTCGGATAAAGTCAAGCTGCACTCTGAAGCTAAACTACCACTGTAGGTTTCAGTTTAGTTTGTAGTAGAATCTCCATTACACTTGCCTTCCTTATAGCTGTCAAAAATAATTCTTCAGGCAAACACTTTGCTTTTTCTTGAAGCCTTTCACACAGTCGACGAGAAGGCAAAATCAAGCAAGAGGTAGGTATTGTTCATCCTCCTAGTTCCCCAGAGCTCTCCATTTGAATTACTCTGTTTTAGGACTGTAGGAGATACATGTATAGAGCAAGTTTTAGGTCTATAAAAGTAGTGATTGACTTACACCCTCACATCCTCACATCAGTGGTCACTGACAACATTCAGCAACGTGCTTGAGGAATTCATCACTGCGTTCATCACTGAAAAACCTCATGCAATGAGGGCATCTGAGTTCACCCTGTGCCCTGCCTTCAGATCCCAGGTTTCCATTGTCCCCAGGAGGAGAATCTTGTTCAGACTGAGAGTTTGTTCTTCTCGTGCCTGTCTGGCCTGGGCTGTTGCCTCGTAGGTGTTCGACATTCGTCTGAACGTACAAATGATTTTGGTTACCAGCGTGAACTCTGAAATGACTACTTGTGTCTCTTGAGTCCTAGAAAGAGAAAGAAGAGCTTTTGAAAAAGATGCAACAAAAATACTTTTTAAAATGGGTGGTATTTTTATCACCATGTCTGAAACACCACTCAAATATTTATCTGAGGACTTTAATAAATAAATTATTAATCAGCTTTTGCAGTGTTATTATTATTGTTGTAAAGAAGGTTTGTAGAAAATACAGAATACAGCCAGTGTGGTAATTTAAAGATGCCAAGAGTCATGGCTGTCCTCTGCCTTCTAAGAATTCATCCTGCCTATATTGATCCAAAAGTAGAAGAAAAAGAGACGGGAAAGGGGTATTACATCTGAACTCTGAAGCATCTCCACCAGAACTAACTATGAAACAATCTAAGTTTTTGATAGCTGTTGAAACTGTTTTGAGCTGAAACTGTTTTAGAAATACTAAGATTTTTAAAAATATATTTTAAAGTATATTTTAGTCCCAAATCCTGTTGACATGCTTAAATTAAAGAAGGAGCATGCTGCTTTCTTACCTGTCTTCTTGCTAGCTGGTGTTGCAGACATGCAACTTCTGCCTGAAGTTCTTGTATTTTACTCTGTGCTCGTTCTCTGTCTGATCTCTCAGATGTGAAATCGTCTTTATAAACCAGGACCTGAAAGAGAGTTATTATGTTAATATTTTATACATTAGAGCATTAGCTGGTTAGATTGAAAAGCTGAGACTATGATTCCTTTGTTACTTATTCCCAGCATCTCAGTATTATCTTCCCTATCGTATGTGTATTTATTTCAAAGGTGTTTGTATTTCTTTTACAGATCTTTCATATTGTGTATTAAAGCCAGCAGAACTGCATGGGGTTCTTTAAGTAGTGAGTTTCCTTTAAATCTGTGTTGTTGAGTATCTGTATAGCCAAATGTGCACAGACAGGCAAATGTCTAAAAATAAATTCCTTTTTTCCCCATGGACTTCAGTAGTCTGGGAAGAAACTAAGAATTCCCATCTCTAGGAAAAAGAAACTTAATAACCTGTTGCTCCAGCATTTGTATGCGCTCATTATCTCCTTCACTAGCCTTCTTCATGTCTTCCAGTTCTCTCTTGGTTTTTATGCACTCATTCATTTTTTCTTCCAGCAGTTTGTTTAACCGGAATATCTCCTTGTGCATCAGGTCAGAATTCCTCTGTGCTGGAGCTCCTCCGTGGTGCTGCTCCAGCTGTGACTTCATCTCCTTCAGCTGCAAATGGAGTCGCTTCACGTACTCATCCCTACTCACATCGTACTTCTGCCATTTTGCGTTTAAATCTTCCACCTGAAAGTTTATCCAGCAGAGGCATGAAGAACAGGGAGACACAAACTTCCAAAGCTTTCATAGGCTGTCTACAATAGCAGGATCAAAATTCTCTAGGGGATAATGTAACATGCTGACTCGACCCCTGAGGTAAGTCACTGTACAGGAGAGCAGGAGATGATTGTGCAGCCCCTTCATGGGCAGCCTTCCCATCTCCCAGTCCAAAGGGACAATATTAAATAATGTGGAAAAGGAGGGGTCTAATGGGCCTAGTGCTGTTCTTCTGGGGTGGAATACTGATTCATGGAAGAACCATGAAAATTTTCTTCTGCACTGCATTTTTAATAACAAAAATCCAGTATGTTAGAAATTATGTAATAAGTTGTTCTTAGCTAAGGGAACAAAAACTATGTTCTGTGTTGAAAGGACTAAGAAAAACTATCTTGCTTTGTAATTGCCCTGTAATTAGATTAACCAGACCTTATCTATTTCAAATTTACTCTAATACAAAATACTGAACAAATATTAATCTGTAACAAAATGAAAGTACTCACATGAGCTACTTTTTGTTTTAACATCCTGTTTTCCTCTTGTAAGTTGCAGATAAGAGTTTGAAGTGAAGTTTCATTGTCTAAAAGCTGTAATTTTCAGATAAAGTTAGGTGTTACTTTAACATAAAAATCTCAGATGCTGTTTGGCTGTGCTGTTAACTGCAAGTAATCTTTTTTTATGTGATGCCTAATGACATACATCTAGGTTTTTACAACATTGGTACTGCTATGAAATCGACCTCATGACAACAGCATTTAAGAGTTTACACAAATTCTTTGCAATACTTGTCTGGAGTGGGACAATACATGACAAAGGCACAGATATGCCTTCATCTTGCTTTGTTATTACTGTCAATTTTGGCCAGTACTAGGAAGAAATTACTGAGGGGAAAAAACCCTGCTTGCTAAATAATTGACTAAAATGATACCTTTTTTTACAGCTGTGACATCTGCTTAAAAAAACCCCGGTGTACGTGAGTAATATAGAACACTTTTGTGCAAAATTCCCTAGAATCAGCTAGTAATGGCATCTGAAATTTCTCCTCTTCAACAGGGAAGTCCCCACTGTACAAGGTTAGCTTCTTATTGCATATATCAAAGTCAATCAAGTTTCCTGTCTATCACTTACACATTATATATGATAATGCCAAATCCTTCAAGTCCCGTAAAAATCCTTTTTTCTTCTATCTACTCAACCCATATTTCTTACAAGTAACTTTAATGTAAGTTTTCTTCAGAAACACTTTTGGGATGTTTGACAAAGCAGACATGAGTATGTACAGAGTTCATCACAACAGCACAGATGAGTGGTCATGTGGAAAACAGCATTACCACGGTGTAGCAGTAAAAGCACAAGTCAGAATTATTCATTTTTGTGAGACCTGTCTGTAGCACCCTACTCACTGCTCTGATCTGTTACTAGAGGCAGCACTGCTAATGCTTTCCTTATGGCGTTTTAATTAATTACCTCATTTTAATGAATGTTTAATTAATGACTCTCAGCCATCAGGACTTCTGGAACAACAGAACAATGATCTACCCTTACCCCATGCTGAGAACTTTAACTGAAGCCTCAGCAGCCATTAGCAGAGTACACCAAAATCCAGGTGTGTCTTTGTGCCCTGCAGTAGCATTTCTGACACTGTGCTATTATGAAGCTTTTTTTAAAAAAAAAAAAAAAAAAAAAAGTAAGACACCTTGACTCATATTCCACTAACCAACTTTCTGTAGGTCTGTACTATGTGTGCAAAGCCAAATCCTGATCCAAGAAGACCATATGTCACAGAGTTCTTAATATGAATACTACTTCAAAATATCTCTACTTTGTTTTGTGATTTTGATACTTAAGTTATCAGGAGAGATCAGCTTCAAAATCACAGCACCATCTAGTGCTGCACAGAAGCAGGGGTGGTATAAGGTAGATACTATCTCCTGTGTATTGAGGGAAGAACTGTGATCATGGAATTGCTGAGGCTGGACAAAACCCTCAAGTTCTTCTCCTCTCCAAAAAAAGGCCTCTGATGATGAGATGGCCAAAGTTTTAAGTGGTAGACAACTGCTTCCATCCTAAATTTCAGATATGCAGAATTATTTACCATTGCCATAGCAGTCTTAACACCCTACATGAAATTATTTTAAGGGCCATTTCCCAGTTACAACTATTATATTGTAATTAACATGTCAGAAGCTAATAAGACTTTAAAGACACACACAGTAGCTGTATAAATACCTGATTAGATCTTTCTGTAGATATTTGGTCATCTGAATTCCCCTTCTCTTTTCTTTGCTTCTCTTCTAGACATTTTGCCAGATGTTGACACATTTCTGCTGTGGATGCTAATTTGCGTTGAAGTTGGTGAGTTTCATCGGTGAGTGAACGGCACAAAACATCACTGGTGGCCTGAGCCTTCTCCCTCTCTGCCAAAGTCTTCTGCAGTCGTAAGATTTCTCTCTCCTTTTCATATGGAGGCTGATTTATCATCTGCTGTATCTCTCCATTTTTCTCCTCTAGCTGCTGATTCAACTTCTGCACTTCCTAAACAGAGGGGGGAGGGGAAGTTATTTAAGAGCAAAATAAAGTCAAAAGCCAAAACATATCTTAGACTTGAATGTTGCAGTAATTCCTTATTGCTCCTGTACTTATTGTGAAGTACTTAAAAACTAGACTAAATCAATTTCATTTCTGTATGATCACAAGACCTTGGAATTGTTAGATCAATCAACCAAGAACTGCTCAGGCAACCACACAAGCACTTTCTAATCAGTAGAATGGAGGAACAAGCAGCAAAAATTCAGGAAGATTTTATGATTATACAGCAGCAACAAAAACAAGAAACAAAGTAATTTAAGATGAATAACTGTGGAGACTGAAAAATACTTACAGGTCCTGTACACTAAACTACCAGATAATAGAGATTTTCCTCAAAAGAAAAAAGGAACTGTAAAGTAATCAAATCCAGTGAAGTGTATTCACTGCCTGGCCCTGTCACAAGGACAAGACAGAGCAACTTTCCCACCTAGGAAAGGATGGGAATGGCAAGGTAAGGTCAAACCAGCAGAAAATAAAATCCATGTGGCAGCAGTGGCTCTAGTTTGGCCACAGCTGACTCCCAGGTACATGAGGGGGTCTGACACACCCCTAGGAAATAACTGTGTACCTTGTTTCTGCATCTCCTTGTCCTATTGGAAGCTCTGTGGGATCATCTACACTGCATTAACATCTCTGCAGGTGTTCTGAGAAGGAAGGGGTTTGCTTGGTGACTGGTGCAAACCACCTGTAGTCCTATGCACTGGTTCAGACTTGGTACACAAACAAGCTGGTTTTTACATATGCTACTATCAAAACCTCTGCAGCACTGCTCCTCCAGAACCAAGGATCTCTGGAGGCCAGTGCAGACATGAGACAGCTGCAATCCCAGCTCTATCATTCCAGTGCTTAGGAGTGCTACTAGAGCTGTAAATCAGTGGGAATACTATTTGCCAGCACACTGGCCTCTGGCTTCACACAAATGTCTTCTTTATTTGGTTATTATTTAGTGCCAATTATTTCAGCGTTCTGATTGGGCACAGCATTTTATTCTTTCAAGAAATGAATATTAACATCTGATATAGATAAACAGCACTTGTTCTTATTACTGACATTTACATTCTTTAGCTTCATGCTGAATGCTAAACTTCCCCTTTAAAGATATTCAGCATCAGCCTTTCAAATATGTTCGGATACCATAGGTTTGTCATCTGTCTGCAAAGTGTCAGTGAGCTCATCTCTTATAATAAATTTCCAAACATGAACTTTTTAATATGTATTTTAGGTGAGTGTCATATATGGAAAGTGTTTTGTATAAAGCATTAGGTCAAGAGATTACTTATGACAAAAACGCTTGTTTCAGTTTTAAGTACTGCTGTCAGTTTGGAAATTACTTCATGCTGCTTCATCTAGAAATAAATGCTTTAAAAATCTTTGAGAATTTCAGACTTAACCTGGGGAAGTCTTAATGACAGTAACCAAAACAGCACTTGTGCTGGATGGGTAGGAATGCAGTTTTCAGGTTTTTTCTTTCAAGAAAGATACTGATTTCCTTAATCTAGCTCTCAAGACTTGTCAGCTGCTTCTTTGAATACGAATCTGCTACCTCACTGTCAATACAAAAATCCATTTTTAAGAGCACTTTAAACATAACACTTTAACAGAAAAAATTCGTGGCATCAGCTGCTTATCTTTGAGAACAATATTGTTGCAGCTAATAAATTCAGCGAGTTTTTTACTGTTTTTCTTTCTCCTTATGAAAACAGCTGCATGAAGATCTGCATGACAGCGCCATGCTGAGTTTTTGGTTTAGATTTTATGGTTTGCCTTTCTGAAGCGGACGCAGGGGGCGCTGCCTTTGGACACAAACGGGCCGGTTCTTTCGGGCACCCGGGGCCGGAGCGGGCATCGCTCCAAGGGGCTCAACCCCTCGCCCCGCTGTGGGCGCTGGCTGCAGCACCCAGCGGGGGCAGAACGGCCGCGCCCTCCGCCCGCAGCCGCCCCGCCGCGCTCCGGTGCCCGGCTCCGGTGCCCGGCTCCCGAGGGTACCGCGGCTTTACCTGGCTCAGCGCCTCCACTCTCCGCGCCGAGAGCCGCTCGCTGTCCCGCAGCTGCTGGCGGGCCCGCTCCAGCTGCTCCAGCAGGCTCTCCACCAGTGAGCGGGCCGGCTCCGCGCCCGCCGCCGCATCCCCGCCCGGCGCCGGGAGCTGCCGCTGCCGGGCCAGGCTGCCCCGCAGCTCCCGGATCGTCGCCTCCTTGGCCGCCAGCTGCAGCTGGAGGTGCTTCAGCTGCTGCGCGGACTCGTGGTACAGGGTGCAGAGCGCGTTGTAGCGAGGCACTTTATTCTTCAAGCTCCTGTTTTCGCGGTGTAGTTTCTCTAGCGTCTCCTCCACCTGCCTGAAGCGGGTCACCAAGGGGTCTGTGCTGCCGGCCTCGCTTACCGAGCACATGGCCGGGGCTGCTCCCTTCTGTTCCTCCTCCAGGGCGAGTAGGAGCCCGGACAGGTGCATAAAACCTCGGAGCGGAGCAGGACGAGGCAGCGGCTTCGCTCTTCCGCCTTCCCCGCCGGGGGAGGAGGCGGCCGCTCCTTTAAGGGCTCGCAGGACCCGCCTGTGCCGCCGCTGTTTTCTCCGGCTGGGGCCGGGCCTGGCGGCGCTCCGCCCCCGGGGAGAACCCCGGGCGTGCCGGGAGCTCTTTCCCCCGCGGCCGGAGCGGGATACGGCCCCGGGGGCAGCGCTGCCCGGGGAACCCCGGCAGGGCCGAGCGGGAGAACCGGCCCCGGGGGCGGGGGGAGAAACCTGGGGGCGAGGGAGGGGGCGAGCGGGAGGCTCCGAGGGCACGGGGGAAGTCCCGGCTGGGCGAGGGGAAGGCGGGCAGCTGCTGCAGGGGGGCGCCGAGGGTCCCGGCCCGCCGAGGGTCCCGGCCCGCCGAGGGTCCCGGCCCGCCGAGGGTCCCTGCGGGGCTGGCGGGCGGCGCTGGCTCCGCGTTGCGAAAGCCCCGGAGCGCCGCGTCCTCCCGGCGCCGCTGCGGGAATTCCCGGCTCGCAGCGGGACTTTCCCCGCTGGCGGCGACCCTCGGGCTCTCCGCTCTCCCCGCTCCGCCTGCCCGAGCGGCCCCGGCCCCCGAGGCAGCAGCGGGAGAAGAAACGCCGATATCTTCTCTCCGGCGATCCTCTGTTGGTGTTGTGTCGGCATCGCTGGCGAGGGGTTGGCTCCGGACCCGGGCAGAGCAGCACGTCCCCCCTCGCATGCCGTGTACCTGGCCAGGTGTGCGAGTCTTTTCTTAGCAAAGACCTCGAAGACACCAAAATCCAAAATTCAGATTCGTCAAAATCCATATCACCAGCCAGTGCTTATACTCTGAGGATGAGTTGATGAGAGCAAAACCAGCTGCTTCACACTGAATAAACTGCTGCCCACCGGCTGCCCCTGTGGTGGAGAACTTTTTTATTAGCAGCATAGAGACAGAGCTTGTTAATCAAGAATATCCCTGTCATGGAGTAACACTGGTGTACATACTCATAGAGTATGGTAAGCCGGACTGAAAGAAGGCATCTTTTGGATTGGTTTAGTTATGTCCATGTTGCTTTTCTGATGGAACCAAGTGGGAGGAAAGAGCCTTAAACCAGTACAAGAATAAGTCCCAGGTTACATTTGGTTATGATTTGCAATAGTATTTATTGTATGTGTATGCATGTGCATCATAACGTGTAAAACACGGAGCTCCATGTGTGCATACAGCCTTAAGGTTCAGTACAATCATGGGAGATGTGTCTGGCCTAAGTGCCTAAAACACAGCAAGTGAAAATCACCACATGCTGCTGGTGGAGGCAGCAAAAAGAGAAGACTTTAGACAAGGTGATAAAGAGCAGCCTCCTCTGTTGGCAGGTCTCAGGATAAAAAGAGAGCAAAGACTTAATTTGTGTGGAAGAATTTACAGGAATGGGAACATGATGAAAGGAAAAGATGGTGAACTTCAAAGTTGAGACTGTCAGTCACCCTGGTGATGGATAAAGACCTCTTATAATGAATTATCCTGTGATTTAATCAAGTTTTTTGAGGTGGAAAGTCATTACTTTGTCACCTTAATTATTCTAGTAAGAATTGGGAGTAATAAATTCAAAACAGTCTGTTAGTTTAGCTGTTTCTAAAAATATGACTGAATTCTATAGGAGCTTATTGCACAGAGGACCCTGTGTGACAGAAAAGAGTAAAGCACTTGTTTATGGTACAGGTCCCTGGCATATTTGCTATTTCACTTAATACTGTAAGTATCGAATTATTTAGGACAATGAAAAATCTGTGTGGAAATTGAGGGAATATAATTTTTTATCTTGTACAGAATTATATTCTACACCCTTAAGATGCTGATTTTGCTGTGAAGAAAATTCCTGCTTTAAAATACCTGTACTTTTTTTGTCATTTTCATGTACATTAGAAAGAAAAGTGAAAAAACCACATAGGCTTCATGTTACATTTTCATTATTGTGTTACAGTCAGAGCTAACTGAAGAATTTGGAGCAAGATTGCTTTTGCTGACTGTCAAAATATTTCGTAGAAACATATGATGAAGCCATGGTACTGGAGAATTGTTTTCCTGTCAATTAATTAGCAAACTACAAGGAAATTCAGCCATCCCATGTTTGCAGATGGGGCAGTGATATCCTCAGACCAAGCATCAGGGAATTTCGTTAGCAGCCAAATAGAATCCTTTATAATATACCTACCTTTGTAGTATTGTGTTAGTATATTAATATTAAGCATTACTTAATTTTATGGTAAATTATTTTAAATTAAGCATTACCTAATTTTATGGTACTTAATTTTATGGAAAATTTGGTATTACTGGTGCCTTGGACGAAGCCAGCATTCCCCCAGGAAAACACCACTGACTCTAGGGAAATTTGACCTACGTAAGTGCTGAGTCAGAAGCTGATCCCACATGTACTTGGGAATGCCCTTAGATGACTGTTTCCTTTTGAGACTTCTGAAATGCAGAGGAATTCCTGGGAATTCAGTCAAAGAAGCTGCTGCCAAAGAATGAGTCACATCTTGCCATGTTTCTAGCACCTGGCTTTTCCTGGATTGCCTCTCCTGCACTCTTACCCAGATTGCTGATAAAGCAGCTGGTTTGTGCTGTGGCACACTTGTTCTTTGGGTTGCACAATCATAATTAGTTATTAAATATTGTATGAACAACAGGTATGCTCTGCTTGACTTAATATAAAGAAAAAAACCTTTATTTTCCATACTGTACTGGTTTCAACATTAAATATAAGGTGAAGTTCACTTTAACTCTTTCTCAGTAGGGTGTTACAGGATAGATGTGATTAAACTCATGTGGGAAAAATTTAACCTCAGATTTTGTTAAAGAACTCTTAACAAAGCTGTTTTGAATAAGTAATTATGTGCACATCACAACTTACTATAATGTGTGAGATGCATCATAGAGTGCATGAAAAAAAGGGATTAGATACTAGAAACAAAAAGAAAGTGAAGCTTCTCTGAGGAAAGCAGAAAGAAAGGTGAACAGTATGATTAATGAAGAGTTCATAAATGTACATATATTTAAATTTTCATTTTTAAGCATGAGTTATTTGTTGAGGGGGTAAAAATAATTCATCTAAATGTAGTAGTTCTATTTCTGTAATATTAGTGAAAATTGTGTGAGTCTTTTGTATTTAAAAGAGTAATTCTCCATGGACAAGAGTATACAACATAATGGGGGATCCTGTAATTTTCTAAATGGTGACCTCTGCTCAATTTGTAAGAAATTGTATTTTTTACTTGTGAACTCCACATTTTATTCAGCCAATCAAGCTGTGGTTTACCCTATCATCTTAAGTCACCACTAATTGTCCTGAAGGCCAAGCTGTGACATAATGAAGCTTTAAAAGTGTTAGAGTTTCCTTGAGGTAATTTACCTAAGCAGAGCTAATTAGAAATGAGTAGGTGATCCTCTGGCTGCTGTAGGCTGGAAAAAAACCACCAATGCATTCCTTTGCTGTAGATCATGCAGTGCAAAAGGGGGAAAAATAACATGCAAAATAATCTGATATACTCCCTGCTACATAACATGCTGCCAGAGAGCTCTGTGTGTGTCCAAAAATCTGATTTTCATGCTGAACAACTGAAATGTTGGTGCTTTTGTGACTCATAGATCAACAATAATGATGAACTGCAGGCATGTTTGCACTTCTTCCATGGGCAGGATTAAACATCCTTTCTATACATCACTGTGTTGGATGTTCTGATGAGACAATGTTCGACATGTTTTACTGCTGGAATGGCAAAGTCACTGAGAGGTTGGCCAGAGGGCTGCCAGGATTCCCAAAACTGGATGAACTCATTGCTGTGACGTACATATGTGGCCATTTCTCTGCACTGAGGCTCTGACTTGGAACACAACATTCCTTTTTCAGTCTTGGTTTCTGTTTACACACATCAAAATATTTACTTTAGCTAGGGGGAATGGAATGGGGTCTATTTATTTCTAATGTAAGATTTTTCCCTGCTTTGTTGATGTGGTGGTGGTGCTGATGGTTTTGGTGGTTTTTTTTTTTGTTTTGTTTTGTTTTGAGGGGTTTTTTTGTTTGTTTGTTTGTTTTGGTGTGGGGTGTTTCTTTGTTTGTTTGGGTTGTTGTTGTTGTTTTGGTTTTGGTTTTTGCATAGTTTGCCTTTTGGAGGATGTAAAAACCAAAAGTGTTTTGATGCAGAGGGCAGAGTCCCAGGGCCCTGTTCTTAATCAAAGTCTGAAATAACCAGGATGAGCCGTACAAAGCCATGACATTGGTCAGATCCATAGCAGTCCCAGCACTTTTCCCTAAGAGGAATTTCTTTCATATTTATGTGGACTAAGGTGGTTCAGTCTCACCATAAGGGTGTCAGTAGCTAAGCTGGATACACGATACTCTCTTTGTCTGGATCTCTCACAAGGCCCTCAATCTGTTTGTGTCCATGTCAAGCCAAGAGCTTTCTGCTATGCTTTGTTTTTCCTCAATGCCTTGGGTCTTTTCCTGCAGTTCACCCTCCTGTGCTTACTGGCTGTATGTTCAGCTATTTCAGACCCTGCTTTAGCTTCCCCTGCATAGTCTCGCTTCTGCAGTTTCTCTTTTGTCTGCCCATGGCACAACAGCACCAGTTGCCTCAGTCTGACCTTGCAGACTGGAATTTATTGCAGTGCTGCTGCTGCTGCCCCTAGATCCAAGAAGTTCAAGCAGTTTTCCTGGTTCTTTAGAAAACCTTATCATGATATCACTGATTTTTGAGCTGTGATTCTATTCACAAGAACATAAAAAGCTCTCTGGTGCATGTAAGTGTTCAGCAAGTGGAGGCTGCTTCCTTACTCACGGGCTTAGATCACTCCTACTTAGAAGCAAGTTACTTCTTTGAGCTTGTTCTGGATAAAACCTTAGGGTTTGCCCACATTTATTTATTCCTGTTGAGGAGTGCAGGATATGTTGGCTTGTAGTTGTCATAGGACACCCTTTCCTAAATCTGATGATTTGAAATACTGCAGACAATTTTTTTGTGTGTGTTGCAGGAAATACTTTCCTAACTCTTAATATATGATCCAT